TTCCTCCCCCCCCCCCCCCCCCCCCCCCCACAAATCATTAGTTCCTGGACCGGCAGTCATCCGATCGGCCCAAAATCTTGATCCTCAAATCCAACCTCGTCCGTCTCTATCGACTCCTGAGCTCTTTTCGCCGGCCTCGAGTTCTCGCTCAGGCGTCCAATGGGACACATTGTCAAGGCACCTCGTATTCTTCGTTTGAAATTGCAAGGCGCAGGAGAGACGCTGGAGGGGGAATTGGGTGGTGTGCGAGACGAGAGACACCGCGACAGGGGGAGTGCCGGAGCACCAAAGGCGGACGGATTCCGTGATCGTTTTGTTTGCCTTGTTTCCTCCCCCTTCAATCTTGCGAGCACCTGTGCGAGTACTTGTAACTGGTTCTATTTTCAGCCGCTCGCAACGCACCGCATCCTGCTGCACTAGCCCTGCGGCAAAAGACGGAAATGGAAGCGCCATTGGCGAGAGCCCGGTCTGGGCTCCGAGCAGCGGCTTCGAGCTGGCTCTCGGCCTCGACAGCGCCGGCCCTGGGATCCTCGCCGTCACCAGCACTAACAACAACAACACCAACAACACCATCGTCACTCTCACGACATGCAATCTGCCGCTCCTCGACGGCCACGAGACCGGCCGCAAGTCCCACGGCGCGCAACTTCTCTGCACTCAACCGGCCTCCGCCCAAGTATCCCGGGCATGTGCCCTTGACCAGGATCGAGCAAGCAGGCATGGCGCTCGGATCTGGCATCATGTCGCTGCTGAATCCCTACCGTGCTGGTACGCCATGAGTTTTGATACGATATGCTTCTCTTTGCTTCTTCTTGCCCCCCTCATCTTCCCTTGCAGGTGCTACGCTAAGCCGATAGTATGCCTTGTTACGCCGTTCCCTCACTCACCTCACCTATCTTTCTTCCCCCCCCCTCCCCTGCTGGTTTCCTAGCCCCCGATTCCCCTGGCCTTTTGCCTGTCTGCTCTTGCTTTTCAGCTATCCTGCATGGTCTTGGGGTTGGAAAAAGCAAACAATGCCGGGTCCGCTTTTGCAGGATTTGTATGACGGCTGAGACAACCCCCCTTGCCTTCCCCCTCTAGGTGAGGAGAAAAGATGGCGAGAGATGGTCGGATGAGCAAGAAGAGAAGGCGAGGATAGACATGATATGGAGAGATGGGTAGACACATAGAACATGACACATGACAGAATAACATGACATGGCACGCGCACACACACACACAACACTGGACAAGATTCTGACAATCTCGCAGATCTCATAGCCACCCTGGGCGAGGCCACGGCGACCCCCTACTTCATCTACCGCCTCCGCGACGCCATGTTGGCCCATCCCACAGGCCGTCGAATCCTTCGCCTGCGTCCGCGAATCAGCTCCAAGACGCTCAGCATCCCGGCCCTGCGCGCCTTGCCGGAGAACTCCGTCGGCCGCGCCTACGTCTCCTGGCTGGACCGCGAGGGCGTGTCCCCAGACACTCGATCCCTGGTGCGGTACATTGACGACGAGGAGTGCGCGTACGTGATGCAGCGGTACCGCGAGTGCCACGACTTTTACCACGCGCTGACGGGCCTGCCCACCGTGCGCGAGGGCGAAGTTGCGCTCAAGGCCTTTGAGTTTGCCAACACGCTGATCCCCATGACGGGGCTGAGCATGCTGGCCGTGGCGACGCTCAAGCCGGCCGAGAGGCGCCGCTTCTTCAGCGTGTACATGCCGTGGGCAGTCAAGAATGGCGTGCGTAGCAAGGAGATTATCAACGTCTTTTGGGAGGAGGAGCTGGAGCGAGACGTTGACGACCTGAGGCGGGAGCTGGGCATTGAGCGGCCGCCGGACCTGCGAGAGATTCGCAAGCGGGAGAAGGAGGAGAAGAAGCGGCTCAAGGAGATGCGAGCCCATGGGTTTTGATGAGTGTGAGGCATGATATACCGTGGTGGTTGTGTCTCATTTGAGGGATGTTGTCTTCTCTCTCTCTCTTTTTCTCTGATTCTGATGGCTTTTGATGACTGTCGAGACCATCTTGACATGCCATCCTCATGAGCTGTATACTATTCTCCCCCTTGTTTATTTTTTTTTTCAATCATCCCTCCCTTCTCGTCTCTCCCCTTATTCCATGCACGTTGCCTTATCCCATGCACATTCAACAGACTTTGTACCTTTTTGTAAGATTAAACAACAAAAAAAAACTAGGAGATGAATAGGTACGCGTATAGGTAGTCAATGCCATAAATGAAGAAAATTGTAAGGGGGAAAAAAGAAAGAAGAAAAACCCCCGTTCAATGCTCGCTCACAAATCCAACAAGTCGTCGTCGTCGTCATCCCAGCCCTTTCGCCTGCTCACAACAATCTTCTCCTGCTCCTGCTTGTCCGCCACGGCCGTCAGCAGGTCCTTGAGCTGCGCCTCCGTCACCTTTTGCCGCAGCTGGCCCGTCTGCGCCAGCGTCAGGAGCCGGTTCTCGATGTCGATGGCGCGCTGCTCCTTGACGAGTCGGATGCGGCCGAGACGGTCGGCGGCCTCGGGGTGGAGGATCTGGTTGAGCATCTGCTGCCGGGCTTCGTCTGCTTGTCTAGAGTGTTCCGTTTAGCTTGTTTTTGGTCTTTGTGAAGTGCACAACACAAGATCACAAACTCACTGTCTCTGTCTCTCCCCGTCCTGGCCTGAAGCACCGCCGTTGCGAGAGCCTCCACCACCGCCTCCCTGCGCCTTGAGCTGCTCAAGACGAGCTTTCCGGATCTGCAGACTGTTATATGAGAGCTTGAACTCAAACGCACGATATCAAAGGAGTCGAAAAAAAAGGAGGAATTTCAAACAGACTGACCTGTTCCAGCTCTGATTCGTCCATGTCGAAAAGCTGCCCTTTTGTCTTGTATATGGATTCAAAAGTTTACACAGTCGTCATCGTGCTGCGGGGCCTTTTTTCGGCAGGCAAAGCAAAGCTTGATAATTTGTCCAGCGGGCTTTTGGAGGGGTAGCTCTGCCGCACGTGATCAGTATATAGCAGCTATAGCAGCTAACGGCCAGCTATAATAAATAGCTACGAGTTTGGAAGGTGGGAATAGCTGCAGGGAACATTTGAGATATCACACACTCAAGAGACTCAGTGGGGGAGCAGCAACACGGAATCACAGGTAGGAGGTGGTATTCATGTATTGGACTCATGTATTCATAAATGCTGCATGTACGTATAGTAGCATTGGTTGCTACCATGGCCACGGCTGATGACGCCATTTGACAAATTGAACATTGAACCACATCAAGTTGTTGTGGGTGGACTAAAAGGCATTGAAGAGAAAAGCATTGCTTCATCTCGACTAATACGAGATGTACAAGTCATACATGTCCAGAAAACAGGATGCTAAATGCTCACGGAATAAGGAAAAGAAGCAGAAGTAAAAGGAAAGAGAAGAGAAATCCCGAATTGATATCCGCTGCTAAATGATGCCAATACCATCCCGTCCCATCCCGTCCCAATGATGCTCCAGTCCCTTGCCAATCCTAATCCAATCCCAATCCATAATAAAGCCCTTGACATGAATCAAAAAGTCGCCATTCCTCAATAATCAATCCGAGATACGCTCATGCCATCATCCCTTGACGGCATACACGGGCTGGATCATGAAGCTTCCAGTCTGCCTCGCCACTAGCCTCCCACGAATCTCCCTCGCAACCTCTTCCATCCTCCTATACAGCGCTGTATTGCCCAACTCAGCACTGCCTTGCCACTGGAAGCGGCGATTCGCGCCGTCCCAGACCAGCGTCTTTTCCTGGCCATCCTCGACTACCCACTGTTGATTCTGCATACGAGCCTTGGCCTGCTTGCGGTCCCCCTTGCGCAGCAGCATCTCAATCTTGGGGTCTATCCGCAAGTCCAAGACGACAAACAGCACTTCCAGGTGAGGGAACCAGTGAAACACTTCGGCCAGCAAAGAGCAATCAGTTCCAATCGTCGGGTGAGGAATGGCAATGCGTGTGAGGTCCGCATCGCTCTTGACGGTATGGTTGGCGAGATCTGGCTGCGCGAGCCGGTCAAAGGGCTCGAGGCAAAAGTCATCCCAGTGGTTCTGGGTGATGAAGAGGGCATCGCGCCTCGGGTCGAACCGCTCCTCAAAGACGTGGCAGTTTCTGCCCCTGTCGAAGCGCATCCCGACGCCTCGCCGGCGCATCCAAGACAAGGCGACGCTGCGTGCCTCGCGATTGACAAACGCCATGGGGAGATCAACTTGCACGGGGTCCAACAGCTCGTGGCAGAAATCATAGTCGATTGTGTCCTCGTCCACGCCGGGCGTCTGATCGAGCACCAGATCGTCCTCTGATTTCGGCAAGCCCCGGAGACCCCAGCATCCCTTCTTGTAGCTGTGTAACGTGATGCCGTCCAGATCCGGCAAGCTCTCGTGCCAGATCTTTAGGCGCAGCTCTGGGGGGAATCTGGAGAAGAGGGGAAATGCGGAAAGGGGTTTGAAAGAAGACATGATGATCATTGATTCCAGCTTTCTGTTGTTGTATACGATGTTTCTTTTCTTTCTTTCTCTTTTTATTCTTCTTTTTTTCCCTTTTATCTGGAGTTGTGTCGTGTACAGGCGCAGACAAACTCTAAATCAGGCGTATAAGTGTGTAAGTGAGCTCAGCTTACACGCACTCATGAACTGGTGGGGAAATATGTGTAGGTAGCTTCACAACGGAGCCAAAAGATGTCAAAGTAAAGAAGAGAAGTAAAGAGAAAGAAGGAAGAGAAATATAGTCGAGCCGAATAAAAATAAAAAAAGGGAGCTCCGGGCATAAAATGATGGGGTAAATTTAAAGACACGGGACTGGCGTTGAGCGCCCTCGGCAAACTAACTCAACCTATGATATCGCAGCCTCGATGGAGTTGGTTGAACGACCCCGCTTGGTCCTTGGACAAGACGGATTGGCTCCCTGGTCTTCAGCTACCCATCGTGACGTATCCAACTAGTATTTTGCGTTGGAAAGCCGGCTGCATCGGACATATGGTCGAGCCCGAAGAAGAGCGAGAGTTGCAGTATACGCGGGTATGGCTTCGTGCCTAAGCTAAGGTAGCATTGCAGCCGTGCTAGAGCAAGTCAAAAGCCTGTCTGTTGCGCAGAGCGTTTGAACTCGGGGGGGGGGGGGGGATCAAAATGCTACCGCCACGGCTCAGGCCGAGAGACGATTCGCAACTCGGACAGGAGTAGGTGCTGTGAATCCGCCGACCGCGAAACGAATCGGCGCGTCGAGGCCAGGGGGAAATTGCCCTCGGAAGCGAGATGCACCACGTTTCCTTTACCGATTCGCTGGGCCGTATCCCTCGTGCTCCGGACCTGTATGAGTGAGTTATACTGTTCAAGGTGCAGCTGCAGGTGCGTGTACAAAGTATACGGTATTGTTCATTGATGTCTGTATTTCACACTTCATTCGTGTACGTCGTGCCGTGCCTTGCCTTTGCAGTGCAAGCATCCGACGATACCAGAAAGCCCGTCTTTCGCCCCCTCACGCCGTTGCTAATGCCTTGAGTCCAAATACAAAAAAAGAGACGTAGAAAAGATAAGTATACAAAAGTGGATTCACTCCATGTTCCGTCCAGGCTGAGTAGTAGTAGTACTCGGAAATGTAATGTAATGTAATTTACACGAGCTTGCCGCGGCTTGAAGCGGGCAAGGTTCGATATCGAAACGACAAGTGGCTGGGCACCGACGTCTCCTCGACGGGCACGTACGAGTTGAGCTTCTCAATGGCCAGCGAGTGCTTGGCCTTGATCACGTCCCTCATCATGACGTTGGTGGCCAGCTGGATGCCCAGCTCGTGGCCGCGCCGTATAAAGAAGCCGTTGAGGTAGTCGACGTCCGTGGGCAGGCCCTTTTGGATCTGCCGCTCCAGATCAACTGTAGAGACGCCGCGCCTCGCCATGATGCGGCTGTAGATGAGCTGCTTGATCCGGTTGCCGCGGATGAAGTCGCGTATCGCTGCGGAGCCCTCCAGCTCGGGCATGGCATCCACCACCGAGACAATCTCTGCCAGCAGCCGGTGCATCATCCGTTGGGCAGCAGGGTTCCGCAAGAGCCCGCCGTACGGAATCTCTAATAGGACGCACACGGGCTCCACCACGGAATCCAGGATGACTGACGGCAGCTTGAAATGGAGCCACTTGTCGAGAGGCGTCAGAGACGAGTTGAGGTCCTTGACGCCCTGCAGAGCCTTGACAAAGTTCATCCTCGTCTCCGTCTTTTCTACGTCGCGGCCGAAATCAGCACAAGTCAGCCGCGTCTCCCCGAACCGCAGTTCCCTGACCGAATCTTGGCCCCGGTTAAGGGCCAGCCGGTGGCTCATATGGCCAAGGAGGAAGCTGGGCCTCGATTCGGTCCCACGAAAAACCCGCTGCCTCACCTCTTCCAGGACACCCAGCCCATCTGTCATCAGGCACACCGTCGTGTCCTTGTCGATGCGGTGCTTGACAGACTGCAATGCTTCCACTGCATCGTGTCCCGGGCCGGCTACGAGCAGCTGGGCGATGTGTGAATTGTCATCTCCGGTGATGGCTTTGGGGGTCACAGACACGTGCTCAAGCTTCATCTTGCGCTGGTCACCGTGACGGGACTTGTAGACGTTGCGGTACTTTGAGGAGAAAGAAGGCGATGCCGACGGCGATGGCGAGCTCCTCTTCCACCCCAGCATTTCAACGGAGTCGTAGACGCCGGACAGGGCATGGGCTATGAACCTCGATCTCTCGTCATCTCCAAGGATGTGTATCTTGTGGACTGAAGGCGATTTGGCGGCCTCGGGAGGGAGCAGCACCGAGGGCACGGAGAATTTCGGCGTAGACGACCAGGACGGTTTGGCGGAGGTAGGGTCAAGCCCGAGAGCTTTGGACCACGGCCTAGGCACCGGAAATGGTGAATTCGCTTCGGTAGATGAGGGGTCGCGTGACGATTTGGAAGAGCTGCTGCCGCCGTCAGAGGTCGATGCCACCGTGCCATAGCGCCGGCCTCGGCAGATGCCATCGCCAGTCCACGCTGAGGGCCTCTGACATATCCGTGCGGATAGCCGCGGTCGAACTGAGCCCGCCACCGTGAAGACTGCCGAGAAACGTCGGCGAGCTACAGCTGGAACTGGAGAATCCGAATACGTTGGAAGGATGAAAGGTCGGCGTCTCGGTCTGTCCCCGTATGTGAGTGGACTATTTCGCTCGTGCTCGTGCTCGTGCTCGTGCTATGACCTCGGGTTTCGACAGAGTGGTGCTCGTGAGGAGGCGATTCAAGGAGACAGTCGGCAGTGCAGCGAGTTGCAGTGAATTTCGTTGGTAGTAGTCAATGGATGTGGCTGTTGAGTGAGCAATCCGTATCCTTGGGCGATCTAGAGGGGGGAAGAATTGCAGGAGTAGTGAATTATGAGCTTTGGCCGGTGTCCCTTCCAATTGTCCGTATGTTGTAACTGCCTATCCGGTTCTTTTTTTTCTCGCTGGGGGGTTCCACTGCGGGATCGCGCCTCGATAGCCGATGTGCACCCCGATAAGCGACCTGGACCGATATTCCGATAACGTAAGATATCAGAGCCTTTTCAACCTTTTTCATCTCTTATCGTACTGTAGACGAGAAAGTGAAGAGAAAGCTGCATCGAGCATCACTTTCTCGTAGAACCTCAGTTTTCCCTTTGTTCTTCACCTGCGACCATGGCGGATATACCAACCATCATGCCCGACGTGGAGAAGCTGGGCTCCCAGCTGGACAGACTGGAGGATGCGCTGGAGCCTTTGCTGGGAAACATCAGTGAGATGGCCTCACAGCTGCCCCTGCTGGATCGCGCCAAGCTATTCTCTCTGACGGCATATGCTGTCGAATCGCTGCTTTTCTGTGAGACTCGACGGTTCCTGCATCATTTGACGGTTCTCATGGGCTGACTTGCATCATCACAGCATCCATCAAGGTTCAAGGGGGAGACGCCCAGAATCACGCAGTGTACGCTGAGCTTAAGCGGATCCAGCAGTACTTTGCAAAGATCAAGGCCGCCGAGGAACCAGAGACGAAGAGGACGCTCACCGTCAACCAGGAGGCAGCCGCACGCATTCTCAAGGCCGATCTGGTAATTTGCCCCCTCTGCGCATCACTTGAAGGAGATTTCCCCGTCTCATCACCAACTTTTTTTTTTTTTTTACCCTTGTCCATTGAGGTGCTAATCATGGTGCTGCAGAGCGACAACAAGACGCTGAGCGCCAAGCTGGCTGAGAAGATTGCCGAGGAACGCGCCAAGGCTCTGCTCAAGGCGGCAGAAAGCAAGAAGCGCAGCGCGGAAGAGGCTGCTCAGACTGCCAACTCAGAGACTCACGAATCGCCAAGCCAGAATAAGAAGGCAAAGACAAAAGGCAAGGGCAAGAACAAGAGCCGAACATGAGGTTTCCAAGGGACGACGTGAAGCATCAACTTTCTTTTCAAGAGTTTTTAGCGTGTGCCTGACGGCCAGTGGCGAACACTTGCGCATAGAGGCGTTTAACGGCAATGGTTTCTGTTTCTGATATCTGCTTTATTTTATTTTCTTAATTTTTATTCTAAAAGCACCACTTGATCAAGGATTTAGGCCGGAAAATAGTTTCCATGGGATAGGATCGTAGATGGTAGCAAGAGATGGATGGCAACCACCGGTATTCAAGATGGCATCTGCGGGCATCATGCGCAAGGGCCTTTATTTTTTTTATTTTAACTCAAGGGAGACTGGGATGTTCTTTACACGGGGTATACAATGAGGAAAATGAATTGAATATTAATCACCAAATATATACCCTCAGCAGAATATTGCCTACCTAAAAAACACAGACATCGTTCTAGAGTGGTTGAAGGCGTGGAATGTTCTCGCCATAGTTTCTGCCGGCTCTAGGCCTAGCATCCAACCCATTGAATCCATCTAACGAGGCACTAGCAGGATTCTAGCTGCACGAGCAGAATCTCGGCCCCTCCCATTGGCCGCGCATAAAACTGCCAGCCTACAGTACCCTCTGCCAGCATCACCAACTCCGAACTTGACCATTTGTCAAACCCTCGTTTTTTTTTTTTTTTACAGATTCATCTTCCTCACCACCAAAAAAAAAAAAAAAAGAAAAAAACACTGCAGAAATGCCTCGTCAACGCTCCGTCGGCCGCGCTCCTTCGCGCCCTACCGCTTCTGCTCCCGCCCCCCAGCAGCGCCGCCCTGCCACCACCGTGGCCGCTCCTCCTCAGCAGCACGCTCCCCAGGCCATGATGCCTCCCCAGCAGGCCTCTCAGGGCCCTGGACTATTTGGCCAGATGGCCAGCACTGCTGCGTACGTTTTTATTCCCTAAATGAATCCTCCTTTTTTCCTCGATTCTCAAGTGTTGCGCAATGCCAAAATGTACTCCCCTCGGCGCTTTGCTCTGGAGTTTGCAATTGCCTCGGCTACTCGCAAACCGCAACACCAAATCACTCTTCAAACAGCACATGAGCTAACTACGTCTCTGGATTCCCCCTCATATAGCGGTGTCGCCATCGGCTCCTCCGTCGGCCACGCAATCGGCGGCCTCTTCAGCGGCGGTTCCTCCGAGCCCGCCGCTCCCGTCCAGGCCCAGGCCGCTCCCCAACAGAACCAGCAGTACAACAACTGCGCCGGCGCCGCCCAGAACTTCACAAAGTGCCTCGACGACAACGGCGGCAACATGCAGATCTGCAACTGGTACCTTGAGCAGCTCAAGGCTTGCCAGGCCGCCGCTAGCCAGTACTAAGCGGAGAGAGGATACGAACAAGATTACGATAGATACGGCATGAGGGAGATGCGGTAGAGCAGTCATCGGATCAAGGACATGTAAATCTACACGTCTGTTGAGACGAGCACGCATGTATATATACATCTCCGGAAGACGAAACTTGGGAACGGTACGCATACATGGGATGATGGTATACGTACGCACAGACACACCTACAGACACTCTCCATATATAATGGGCGCAGCGCTGGAGTAATAAGTGGGATGCCTGCCAATGGCTTGGGCAGAGGAACATCATGTTGCAAATGCGAAAACAGAGGCGCATAGAGAGGACTCGCTGGGTTTATTCAAGGAAAATCCCTATAGATGGGTGCACTCTGCTCTTGAATCCTGTACTTGTACAAATAAACAACTGAAAGAAATAAAAGAAGAGAAAAGAAAATATCCGAGAAACCCCCTCCCAAGCTGAAAATACCAAGTGAAAAAGTTAAAAAGGGGAGAAAAAAAAAGAAGAAGAAGAAGAAGAAGACGCTGTGAGGCGGAGGAATACCCAATGCCGTTAAACTATTATACACTGCTCCTGCTTTCATGTTTCGTCGTCGTCTGGTCGGGGCTCAAAATTCAGCTATACAACATGCGTGGTTAGCCTACAGTTGACGTGTGATCAAGGTTTTGTTAAAGAGCCACATACCGAGTTGCCATTGTAAAGTTGGTGATCGCGCTGCAAGTTCTGTAGACCTCTGACTCGGCGATTCCTCTCCTCGGAAGCCGTTCTCGCCGTCGCGTCCGACGACCCCCCATCTCTTGCGGCTTCTCTCTGTCCGCCGCCCAAGCCAACCAAGCTCAGGAGCCATATGAAGAAGCCCAGGATCATGGCGAGAAACTTGGAAAAGAAGGATTTCTGCTGTTGCTCCGCTGCGCTATAAGCCGAGGAGTACTTTTGGACGGGAATCAGCACCAATGTTGACGACGGGACCAAGCCCAGCTCGCCGAGGGCCTTGTTTTCCTCCGTCGAGTCAATGTTCTTGTTGGGCAACGGTGTTAGGACCTGCTTGAACGTGTAGGGACCGTTGCCCTCGCCCCTGTTCTCGTCAACCCAACGCCTGACTTCCTTTAGGGGAGATGCCGTCTTGAACCGCGAGCGTATGGTCGAACCGTCAAAGAGCCGGACCTGTATCGATGCCATTTCGGACACCCTGGTCGTCGAGGGCAGTTTGCTCAGCTTCGCGCCGGTCGAGAGAGCAGCGTCGTCGGCCTTTTGGCTTTCAATCTTCTGCTGCTCCTTTGCCGACGCCCGCATCCGCCTCTCCTCCTTGTCGTCCTCTATTCGCTTCAGGATCCTTCGGCGTTCCTCTTGTTCCGCCAATCGCTTCTTCTTGAGCTCCTCTGCCTGCTGGTATACTTTGGCGCCATCTGTATTCGCTCCTGCTTGCGCCTCGGCCTTGGCCTTTTCCTGGGCCTTGGCCCGCTCCTCTTTTGCTTTTCGCTCGGCCTCTTCTTTCTGGGCCTTGAGCTTGGCCGCCCTCTCGGCGAGGATCCGGTTGACTATCTCGGATTGCGCGGCGGCTTGTACGCTCGCGGGCGGTGCCTGTGCCTGGGATTGTGATTGTGATTGCGATTGCGTTTGGGCTTGGGATGGCGGTGGAGGAGATGTCGAAGGAGCGGGAGCGAGAACGGAAGCGTGTGCGGCAGGGGGGACTGGGGCGGCCGGTCTTGTCGGTGAGGTTGCCGGTGACGAGGCTGGTGATGGTAACGACGACGAGGATGCGGCCGCGGCAGAAACCACTTGCGGAGCGGCATTGAAGGCGACGAGGATCCGGCGGAGGAAATCTTCCTTGCTGGTGCCGGCAGAAATGTACTCCTTCAACTCGCCGTGCTTCATGATGACCACGGTCGGCGTCTTGGGCAGCGGGAAGATTTGCGACAGGTATCCGGCCTCTTCCGAGTCTGCGATGAGCCGCAGGGCGACTGCTTGCGTCTCTATCAGCTTCAACAGCTGTGTTTAAGCTGTTAGTATGTACATGTATGTTACATCGGGGGTCGTATACCGCAAGTCGGGGGGAGTGCGGGCGGGCCTTACAGAGCTGTCTTGTAGATATTCATGCTCCCATGTTTGACTCTCGTCGTTTTCATCTAATTCGGCGTCAGACAAGGTGCACAGGTGGCTGACCAGCGAAATTCAATCACGCACTCGTCACGAAGCAGAGCACCAGCTTCTGCTGGCCCACCGCCGTGGAAATGCCCTCTTGCAGGCTCCCCTGGTAAAACATGGCTTTTTCCTTATTGTATTTCCTCTTTTTTCTTTCGAATGAGATCGCATAAGCCTCGTCACTCGACGGTATTATGTTGAAGACTCGAGTATTATGTCTTTGTAGGAGGCGGAGCGGTGGTTTGGCGCTGGGAGGAGGGTGATTAACTCGACAAGTTGCCGGGACGGAGGAGGAGGGGAATCGCAGCCCGGGCAGCCGAGAATCGATAGTAATACAACGAACGACAGGGATTCACGTTTCCTTCTTGTCACACGCGTCTCTGTGTTGTGCAGCACCACAAAATCGCAATCCCGGAACACAGAATGAAGAGAAGGAATCCGCGGTTTTGTTGGGGCCTCTTGCCGCTGTCTGGACAACGTTCACACTTGGGGAGACGAGACGAAATGCGCGGGAACCGATGACGAAAGGCCAGCTTTGAATGGGCATCAACCAAAGACCAGCGAGATCCACCGGCCGGCGGCTTTGCAAAAGGTTCCGCCGCGCAATCCGCTTTGGGACGGGGCGGTGGAGGCTCTGCTGCTTGGGGCACGCGGTGGCTGTTCTTTTTACCTCTTTTTACCTCTTTCTACCTCTCTTTACAAGGACAGGCGGCTCAATTGCTGGCGGTTTTTGTTGGGAGGGACCTGCACTAGTAGTTTGCGATGCTAATATGTGACTGTCGTCTGGAGTTTGTAGATGTCAATTCCACAACGATTGAAGATTGTATTTGATGAATTGTAAATGGAAACTTGCAAGAAATAGATAGACTCGGGGAAGAGCCCGTCGTTTGATGGCTGGTCAATGTGGCATCATTCCAGCGTCGTCCCGGCCGGATTCCAGAAGCGAGCACGGCACTCCGTGACAACAAAAAGCTACAAGCAAGCCGCCGGTATTTCCCCTCCATTGACTGAGAAAATCATTAAACAGACAAACAATTACACACAATGAATCAGAATCATGATTTACTCGACAAACTGTCCAATAAAAATCAAAGAGAAATACATGGCCCAAGCAAGGGCAATCGCCATTGTGCATACACAAAGACTCAGACTCCGAGACGTCAAACACACAGAAGGCCATCCATAGAAGCCTCATGACTTACAGCGCCTCTAAACCCCCACCAAACAACCCCTTCTAGGCAGGCGGTCAATCCTCACAGCGCCCATCAATGCCATCATACTATCAAATCTCCAAATCCAAAACCACAAAGACAGACAGGCACCAACATCTCGACTCTCACCCAGCAGTTCAAGCACACAATTCCACCAGCGTTGATGAACTGCACACAACATCTCCTACGCAGCCTACGGGCAACCCGCGGCAGCATCGCCGCCAGATCCGCTCCCCAATGCTCCCGGACAGCGGCAGCAGCTCGCATCCTCCCGCCCCGAGCCGTCCACAGCAGACGCATATCCTCGACCGCCTCCCGATCCAACAAGCAGCCGGCTGCGGATGATCCGAACTTTGTGTCCATTGTCGATCTGCAGCCGCAGACGGTTCGCGCGGGCAAGCGACATGGCCCGGGCATCCTCCTCCTCGGTTCGTGTGTCCTTCTCCGAGTATACAAGCACTATATACCTGCATATGCCCTGCGGACAAGTGATTACCTTGCAAATCTACTTGTACACACAATCCGACAACTGTTACTAACATCTTTCCTTTCCAATCACAACAGCCCTCATCCCCATAACCGCATTCTTCCTGGGCACATGGCAAGTCCAGCGCCTCGACTGGAAAACGCGGCTCATCGCAAAATTCGAAGACCGTCTCATCCGCGAGCCTCTCCCCTTGCCGCCTCACATCGACCCCTCCGTCGTCGGCGAGTTCGACTACCGCCGAGTCCTCGCCACCGGCCGCTTCCGCCACGACCAGGAGATGCTCGTCGGCCCCCGGATGCGCGACGGCCAGGACGGCTTCATGGTCATCACGCCGCTGGAGCGCAAGGACGGCTCGACCATCCTCGTCAACCGCGGCTGGATCAGCAAGAAGCACCGCAGCCAGAGGACGCGGCCCGACAGCCTGGTCCAGGGCACCGTCACGGTCGAGGGGCTGCTGCGCGAGCCGTGGAAGAAGAACATGTTTACGCCGGATAACAGGCCCGACAAGGGCGAGTTTTACTTTCCTGACGTCCACCAGATGGCGGCTCTGACTGGCAGTCAACCGGTGTGGATAGAGGCTACCATGGGTGAGTGATTTGTCTCCTTGTCTCCTTGTCTTTTGTCCCAGATTGTCTCTACCTAGGTGAAGCTGCCTACCAAGACAACTCCAATACCAAACATTTCCCGAAATAGCAAACTCGAGATATTCCACCAAGCGTCCCAAAAAAAAAAAAAGAAATCCCCAAGCTTTCGCAAGCTTCCCGCATTTTGTCCCTTTCTCCGACGAGACTCATGTCCCATATATCCCATATCCATATCAATATCCCTATCCCTTGAACCATTCATCGCTAAACAATACAATCCCAATGTTTGCAGAACCCGAGTTTATGCGCATGGTGGACTATGAGGCTCGCGGAGTCCCCTTTGGACGACCTGCAGAGGTCAACCTGAGGAACAACCACGCCCAGTACATCTTTACATGGTAAGTGAAAGCATCAACATTCCCCCGCCCGTCTATTTGCGAAAATGAAAAGACAAGAAACAGAACAATGCCAGTCATGGCTTGCGGTCAAATCAGTCTCCTTCAAGTCGCCTAACTCGTAGACTCCGCAGGTACGGTCTGAGCATTGCCACGTCAATCATGCTTTACATGGTGCTCAAGAAGCCGCCGTCCAATATTGCTCGCCGAGTACGGGCCGGCGGGCACATGTAAAGGAGAGAGCGAGGGAAACAATCAAAATAAACATATAATGTAAAAGGAGAGTGAGAGGAGGAGAAAGATGGAAGCAGCAAAAAGAAACGGAAAAGAAGATGAGAAGCATGGCCAGAGATGATGGTTGCGTGCAAATGGCTATGCACGTTTCAAAGAAACCACTATTGCTCTTCCTCTTCGTCTTCCTCTTCTTCCTCTTCTTCCTCATCCTCTGGAAAGACCAGCTCCTCTTCCTCATCGTCATCATCTTCGTCATACTCTTCTTCTTCCTCTCTCTTCCGCTTCGTGCCGCCATCGCCATGGGGCACATACGCGGCGTGGGTGGCAAGGGTGGCATGGGTGGCATACGTGCCAGGATGGGCCATGGGAATAGCACACCTCAGCATCTGCTGGAGCTCGCGCGGAAGATGGCGGTTGGCCAGGTTGAAGAGAGAGAGTCCTGGGTTGAGAAGGCGTTGTCTATTGTGTACAGTATATCATAAGCATGGGTAGGAAAAGGGGGGGTTGAAAATAGATGTAAGAATAAAGACTGGGAAGGGGGAAATAGGGGAATTAGACAAACAAACTCACCTATTCATCAAGGTAATGACATCGCGCTCTTCAATGGTTCTTCGACCAGCGTGATTGGCGTAGGCACCTAGATCGTCGCCGAGCTGCTGGAAATACCAATCCGAAGCTTGCGTCAAGGCTCCAAGGGTGTCGGCGGGTATCCTTTGATTAACCAACCCCGTCGTTTGTATGGCAGCCTGGGTAACCTGCCTGACAAAGGCGGGCGGCAGCTGCGGATACTCAATGTTGTGCTTTGAGATCCTGGTCTTGGAGGTCTTGGCCTTCTTTTTCTTGGGCCGGCCATGGGGGTATCCGATGATGTCGTCGTTGGGCTTCTCAGGCTCGAGCCCAATCGTCTCATAGTCAATCTTGGTGATGGCCTCCATTTCAGCGTCTCCCAGGCTAGACACGGACTCAAAGTCGCCATAATCAGGAAACTGGTCATCTGCTTCCCGCACTGCCTTCATGTCCGCTTCTGCTGACGCTTCTGCTGATGCTTCTGCGGACGCTTCTGCCCCGAGTCCTGCCTCGAGTTCTGTCTCGACCCCTGTCTCGACTTCCGCCTCGACTTCTGCCTGTCTCTTTTCGTTCATGAGCTCAATGTCATCCTCAACGGGGTTGGGAGCATTGAGAACAGTTTGGACATCATCAATAACGGGAGACCTCATGTAGAAGGTGGTTTGATCATTGTCACTCAGGCCAGACGGCATGTCAAGGCTAAAGTCGCTTTCACGACGGTCACCAGGAGGTCGCCTTACAAGTCATGTTAGCACGTCATTCAATTAAACAAGATTCATTGTGTCAGAAGACAAATGGCAGGCGCATACCGTAAATCTGCAATCTCAGGATCCAGAGGAGCCGGGGGGGCAATCTCAATTGATCTACCAAAGGGATCTGACCCCATGTGTTCCCCGTAAATGTCATCCCACATGATGTCGTCACCAGATCCCGGGAAGAAGCCAAAGCTGCGCCTTGGGGGGCCCTCGCTGGTAGCTCGACGAGGCAGCTCAACAGACTGAACCGTCACGTTTCCGTCATCGAGCATGGACGACTGTGGAGGCTGCAAGTCGTCCGAGGAGGAGCCCTCATCAAGCGGCAGAGACAGGCGAGGCCTATCAATTGGCAGCTCGTCGTCATCATCGTCAGCCCGTCGAGTTGCGCGCCTACCACGGCCGCCAGATCCTCCACCGCCGCTGCCATTAGGAGAGGGCTTGTCCGGGGAGGATGAGGAGGCAATCACATGGCTGGTGGGAGCCAGGGCGCGGCCAAGATGGCGTAGGATCGACATGGGCGTCTCTCTCTGCTCTCTGAAGCTCTGGCGACGGGTGCGGCCCGGGGTGAACATGGCAATGCGACGCTGGTCAAGTGCTCGACGAGCAGCCACGGCATGGGGAGTTGGGGCAGCCGGCGTGTTAATGGCCGAGTGAGGATAGTGAGGGTTCTGGAAGAAGCGGTTCGAGGGCGTGTGAATGGACAGACGAGTAGTCGAGGGCTCAACACTCCTGGTACGACGACGAGGCGTGTGAACGGGCACATCGTCGTTGCTTCTTCCCAGGTCCAACATCTCGAGATCCATGGTTGCAATGCTCGAGGGGGGAGAGGGGGAGGGGCAGGGGGAGGGATAGGGCGAGGGCTCTGAGTCTTCAGGCGAGAGTTCGCGCGCGGGGTCGTCTGGTGGTCTGAATCTATCTTGAAAGTCGAGAAACTGACGACGCCAGTAGTTGAAAGTAGGACCTTCAGGATGAAAGTCGAAAAAGTAATGATCGGGTTCAAAGTCTAGATTCAACGACATGTAGCGGCTTGAAGAAGAAGATGTAAATATTCAAACAAGGGCCAAGAATCAAACGTCTCTGCAACAACACACCTTTTCAGGCTGTTGCTATATAGAGAGACAAGAGACAGACCGAGTCGCGGATGCGCGATTGGATGGCGATTTGTTGATGTAAATGCGACGGGATTGCGGGATTGGCCTGTTTTATAGACGAATGCTTTTCTTTCTTTTCTTTTTTTTTTCAAACCCCGGGTGAGAACGAGTTGGGAGACCAGTTGGATAACTGACTTGGGGGTATGGGCACACAATGCAATGCAGACAAGGGGAGGCCGGACAGGGACGCTCTCAGAGGCAACAAACTGGCGATGGCTGGCAACCGAGTGAGTGAGCGTAAGAGGAGGATTGGATTCCGGCTGTTGTTCAACGCCAGATGCCGCCAGGGATTGGCCGCATGTACTGGTGCTTGTATGCCGTGCGGAGAAGGCGCCGCTCACAGTGCCTTGGACTTCATCTGGGCGTTGTGATTTGCACGTTTTCGAGGCAAGGCCACAGAAGTTGGTGTAACTCGACCGGGGCGCGTCATGGGTCTGAGGATACAGAGCAGAGACAAGACAAGAGAGACAGACAGAACGAGCAGAGATTGGACGCGGCAAAGTACACGATACATACATGGATGGATGGGGCAAGTGCTGACTAAGGCAGAGGGGCCTCGCTTTCCTTATCACATGAACTTACTATTCGTGCTTGTTTTCTTGATTTCGCTGTATCAATTATCATGTCAACTTTTTACATTATGATTACCTATCATTACTCATAGTTTGTATTTTCCATTAGCACATATATCTAGTGCTGTGTGATTCATTCTGGTGGCTGCTGCTCTCGTCCCCGCCAAAGCTGAGCAGCTGCCGGTGTGAAGAGAATCAAATCACCTTGCAGGTTTCCTTTCCTTAGCGGCTTAAGCTTTGCAGCTTCGGCCAATCAAGCGGCGCGGGGGAGAGCCGGGCCGCCCCACTTCTGGAGAGAAATGGGTGTGCTAGCAATATCGCCCTTGTACCTGGTACTCGCAGTTACTTCACCATCAAAACTTACAGGTAGCTCACCTATCAATTAGTACCAGAAGCTGTGTTTGGTTTACAGAGTCTCCAAGTCGACTCAACAAAACACTCGCTATTGTTACAAGGAACTACTAGTCTTACTAAGGTACCTAGGTTGTCTCCTGGCTGACTCGAGGCGTATATCGATATTGCTCTATCCATCAAAAGCTGCATCAAAAGCCGCGTCAGGCAGTGCAACTACCCGCCCGAGCTCTGGCAACTGCTAGTGGCTGCTACCTGCTACCCTTAGCCCATTTGCTGGGACCGCAGTGTCACCGCGACCAAACGCCACCACGACAGGCCCCTTGTTTTAAATAAAGAAACATTCAACACCAGCCCGTCAAACGTGGACCAGCCCCGGAATGCCGCATGCATGTACAAGTACTGTACGTTGGCACTGACTCGATAACATCAGCCGCGGGAGGGGGAATATCATTTGATCAGTCGAATCCGTCCGCCTGCAGCAAGGGCCGCTGCCGCTTCGCTTTGTTTCCTCCTCACGTTACAACTCTTGCTGCTATTTCCAGCATCCAGCATCCTCATCCTCACAACGACATCCTCACAACGACAAAGAATCCCCTCTCACCAGAGCCCCCTCCCTCCTTTTTAATGCGCATGCTGTACACCCACCAAAGCAGCAGCGGGGGCTAGGCGGAGGATTGACCGGTGAGAAACGTACATATGCAGGCGGCCAAACGATGGCGCAGAGCCTTGTCAGTGCTGAGCAAAACCCCCCAAGTCCAAACCCAAACCTGGTCCTTGGTGTTGCGCGCTGTATCAGTTACAAGGCGTACTTGCACACACACGTGCTGAACCAGTGGTAGCGTTTACTTTAGCCCTTGCTTGAGTCGTCCGTGACAAGTCGACGATGCTACCTTGGAACCTCTGCTGAACTCATCACTTCTCACGTCCTGACTGGCCCAAAGGACGAACCGACAATACCAATGGCATCGCTTCTACCCCAGCGTGGGGTGCTCGCGTCGGCTAGCTAGTCCAGCACAAAGAGGCGTGGAATCACAAGCATATGACGCCGTCCTGCCGCGAAGAGGAGACGAAAAGCATGGCTCCCACGCGTGGCCAATGCCAGAGCCCCCTCTTCTCTCGCATTCCTTTTCGCCTCCGTGACGCTTCCCGCGCTTCCCGTATCCATTCTGTTTGGCCCGGGCCTGCAGGAGAGGCAAATGGGCTGCATGGCCAGCTGCATGAGAAAAGAGAAAAGCTTGAACCCCCGAGCAAATGAGAATGAACCCACCGGAAATCCACACCGGTCAAAGGCCTGCATATACATACACGTACGAGTAATGGGTCAGCAAGTGTCCGCGAAAGAGAGGCGGACGCATAGAGCCGGTTCAGGAGTCATTGACTGCCGGCTCCGTGCCTTATCGGTCTCACGCTTGTGTCCGTTCCTGTAGCTATGCGAAGCTGCTGCATGGCTGATTGGTACGAAGCAGGATGCTACGAAAACCGAAAGCTGCGGAGAGAAAAAGCCGGAAGTAACAGGGTCGCCGCCATGGCCAAATACCCTGCCGTGACATGATGCAACGGTTACCAGCTTGTTTCTCGTATGATTTCTTCTGCCACGATCCGTGGTGACAGCAAAGACCAGCCCGGTGGTGTAACATCTGATGGCACGTAGGCAATAGTACCCCTAACACACGAGAATAATAGAGAGGGATAATTTTAGCATCAACACATGAAATCATCACCTCACAAAAACATGTAGACGCAGTCAATACTCATTGGTATTTGGAATAATCTAGCAATCTTGTATTAGAGCAGCCCAGTGGGAGAATCAGTCTTCTCCAGACGCTCCTCAAAAAATCGACAAGGCCAACAATATGATGCTCGTCGTCATCACAGGAGGAAAACCCAGCACTTGGTATCAGATCATCCTAGTGATGTCTCGAAAAGTGACTCATGGATCTCATTTTCGTTTCCCTTTCCCTGTCTGTCTCCTCTCCTTCTTCCATTATCCCCCGTCTTTCTCTCTTTCACGCGACCACTCGGATCGGCCAAGCAAGTTCTCGTGGCCCCCCCAATCGAATCGGGCCTTGTAAGTTCTCTGCTGCTGAGAGCACATTAGTAGATAGTAGTTGTCCCCTCAAACTGCGGTGCCCAGGCTCTGGATGTATCGGCCGCGCTCGACGTTGGCATACGAATAGGGTCTGGACTCCGGCGGGAACGTGCCGTCGGCCGCCCACAAGTCGATGAGGTACTGCATGGGCTCCAGCTCGCTGGGCTGCAGCATCTCGAGCGTCGTGGCCGTCAGGATGAAGTGGCTGAAGCAGCTATTCAGCTGCTTCTCCAGGTTCAGGTGGTAAAAGGGCTCCACGAAGTGGTCCCAGTACAGGTGGGCGTAGACGCGGAAGATTTGGCGGAATATCAGTTGACAGGTGCCCCCGAGCTGCTTGGGAAAGCCGCTTCTGGCCCCGAGCCACTCGTCGGGACCCTGCTGGGCGGCATTGCTCGTGTGCTCGGGGTGAATGGCAAACGACACCGTGTCGGGGTCGGTAGGGAATAGCGCGGGATCGTCCATCTTGCCAGACATCCACCGCTGCATCAGCGTCATGTATTCATACGCCGGCAGCTCCACCGGCTCGTGATTCCTGTTGAGCCAGGTATACGAGTGGTTCCTGTGTTGCACAGCACGCGCGCGCATGCATTAGCCCAGACGCCCTCGAAACTCAATGGGGCAGCAGGGAGACCACTTACTTGCCGGCAGACATCTTGGGGCATGTTGTCGGGTTGCAGATGCTTGTGCCATCCTCCTCTTTCTCGTGGAGAACCCGGACAAAGTTCCAGAGGTTACGGTAGTGCTCGACCACTGTATGGCTAACTGTCAGAACAAGCATGCTCTCGCTCTCCCAGCTTCTCAGTCTCTCGGTCTGACTCTCTCTCTCTCCTCCTGTGTGTACATCCCTCTCTTCCCCATTCTGTTCTATCGGTCCCTCTCCACTGGGCTTACTTACCCTGATGCGCCACCCACTCTCCGTGGTCAACCGTCTTTGGCCGAGCACTCAGCGTCATAAAGTTTCCCTTTACAATGTGTTTGGCACAGGCCGTGTTGAGCCATAGCGGCAATGGCTGGGGGATATCGAGGGGCGTGGGAACCACAGCATCTATTGACTTGGCGATCGACAGGGATTCGGGCAGAGTCACTCTGGGCGCTGAATTCGACGTCGAACTGTAGGACGGGTAGTGGTCCGCGGCCGCGGTCCTGTGAAGGGACGCTGCAGCTGGAGCCGGAGCTTCAGACGCAGTCGGCGTGGTTGGACTCTTGACGGGAGTCCCTGCCTTGGCAGAGTTTCCCCGAATCTGGGCTTTTCTGGTGCCGGAGACGAGACATTGAGTTAGCAAACTTGCGGCTGAAGGAGCACGGCACGTAATAGCAAACCCCAAAACGGAAGCACAAGAGACCAAATGGGAAAGGGAGCCGGGGGGAGAGAGAAAAGACAGCTTACATTCCAGAGAACAGGTTGGACATTGCTGTGGTAGGACAGTAACCTTGGAGTAAACAGTGTGAGCTCGTGATTATGGCGGGGAGTTTAATGGCAAGGAAAAGAGCCATAGGCCGCTCTCCCCTGAACACAACAGGACGCTAGCCTGCACGAGGACTGGAGCACAGCCATTAGCTAAGCAGAATCGACGGAAAGGGGGGCGGGAACAAGGCCTTAGTCTTGCTCTATTTTCAATGGGCCAATTTCTAGTCGATCCGCTACTGTCTGTTAAGCAAGGTTGACGACAACTCAAAATCAACCGGGTCGACGATCTTGTGTTTGACTAGGCTAGGCTAGGGAGTGATTCCATGTTCACTGTGCTTTAAAAGTCATCTACCTAGTAGGCAAAGGATACATATGTAGGCTCTAAGCGACTTCTGTTGTTGTACAGAGCAATCGGGTACAGGTTATGACACACCAAGGCACTCTTACACGGAGGGTAACACGGCATCGTCACTTCAAGGGACTGCAATTTACAAATCATCTTCTGCGTGCTTGGCCATGCTGCTTTACCCTCCACTTCTCTACATGCAACTATACAGGTACCGAGTACAGTGCACTCTTCTTGCCGCGTCTGGGCCTCATGTCTGATCGGTCGGACTTGGGCGAATGATAGCACCCCGATCGTGAAATCCATGGCCGTCATCTCTCATCGAGCTTGGGATCAATCATCGACTCCCAGTGCCCCGCAATGGCTTGCAAACATGATCACTTCTGCGGGAGAACACATGTTCACTCTGGAACATGGCTGTCACTGCTTGCTCAAAGCCGGGGGCGAGTGGAACATGGCGTCGTTAGCCCATCCATGGCTCGGGATACGAAGCAGGCAGACACACCACCCGCGTCTGGCGACGGTGATGGGCGAGAGAACCTGGTTCTCGGGGCGCAGGATGCAACCATCCCGGGGATCAAAGGGCCCCATCAACTCAGATCTTGGTGTGCGGCTGAGACAGACATTCAGTCCAAGGCCGCCCCAGAGTAACATGTCGGCATCGAGGCAAAACCAAGCCCCAATGGGTGTGATTGTTCTTTTTCTGAGGGGCCGAAATCTTTCGGACTGCATGTCTCGTTTGCCCAGGGCGTATTGGCTGGAGCTGTCACATTCGTTGGCCCGTAAAAAGAGTCCATGGAATTGCTTTTTCTCAAGCCAGCCCGTCTTCCTTGACGCGGGTCTCAGTTCACTCGCTCGTCAAAGGGTTATGACCAGGTCATTTCGTCAAAAATGATAGACTTGATGGCTCTTGAGCATGTCTCGCTTGTTCTGAGAAGGCGTCAATATAGACCCAGGCTGTCGGCCAATAGAGCGGTGATTTCTGGAAACCCGAAGATTTTCGGCCTCGTATTTTGCTTTTTCTCAGATGCTCGGACGCATGTCTTGACTGAGAACAATCACATTATCACACCGATTTTTGGTCTTCTGAGATGTCCAAGCTCTTCGAAACGGCCCGTCTCCAACCCCATCGGTACGGCATGACTGGGCTTTGGCGTACCATCTGCAAGGGGAACCAACTCCATAGTCGTTTTCTCTGAGATGTCCGAAAACTTTCGGACGGCGTATATCTAACACACCAAGACATTATGAGCAAGCCCCGACACCCCGCTTACCAAGGGTATCTGAACTTTTGGGCTGTCGTCAGGACGTGAAGACCAAGCTAAGACGTCAGAGAGAGACATCAGCCCCCGAATTCACTTTTGGTTTCCTAGGAACCCGAAGATTTTCGGGCAGCACGTATTTAGCTCAGAGGGAATCCGGTGACCATTTTGTCTTGCATTTGCAATCTCGGGCTCTCGCTCTCAAGCCTGGATCCCAATCTGCTTTTAGATGGGCCGCAGCCAAACTAGTGTCAGAGCACATGCCATTGATTCAGCCAAGGTGTAACCTAGATCGACATGTATGCCATCTAAGGGATCTGAAAGATTCCGCCACATGCCTATCCCATTGGGATACCCCATGAGCCTGAGGTTAACTCGTATCTCGCTCCCCAATGTAGCCAAAGCAGATGCCACCTAGCCGTCCATTTACGCCGCGGACTACCCATGGTCTTGAACATCCCGGATGTCTCGTATAGCGGGCTCTATCAAGCCGTGGCTAGAGATGTCAACCACTTCGCAACACTCCGTATCATGCCTTTTCTCGTCCGCCGTGTGTCTCATCAGAATACCCCAGCCGCTCTGGTTCGCGGTCGCGGTCGTAATCAGAGCTGCAAACTCGACGTGTAATGCAATGCCAGACAGAGACCGGGCTCCTCATGTCTCTCCAAAGCCCCATTCACACTGAGGTGCAATCATGTTTAGTTGGAAGCGGCAGAAGCGACACAAAAGTGAAGCGGCAAGCGTCTTGGCAGTCCTTTTGTTTTTGTCGCAATGCGCGAGTATTCAGTCAAAGACAGGATACGGTGACCCTTGTTACGGAGATACCAGGGCCGCAGCCGCTGCCAGTCCGCAATGGCTAGTAACCTGTTTCAAAACCACACCTCATGATGTATTGTTGTTCACAAGCTCCGAGGAAGCTTGGCTCCTTGCAAAGACGCTCCTTGTCCGGCACAATACGACATGGCTGTCATTATGATGATGGCTTTGATACAGAGTAACTGTAGTATATTGAAGCATTGCCTTGCGTATTCCATGGCCAAAAGTATCGTTCGGGGGTTACCAGGGTGATTCTTAGTTCTAGGCATACCTGCATGATGATGCAATTTTGTGATCTTGCAACCGGCTTGGTTAACACACGTAAGCCCCAGCTGATAACTGTGACTTTCATGAATGATCATGTCGAGGTTGCCTCTTCAGAACATCCTAGTGCCTCCCCAGATCGCCCGGGTATATCAACATTATATATGATTTGGATCATGTGGAGGTTTCGAAGAGGGTGTCCTGCCCCTCTGGGTTGCTCCGCATTTCCTTCTCCTTTGGCTGTAATGGTGTACCAGAACGACTGTGCTGCCACGGTGGTCGATTCGAAACAATGAGGTAGCTTGTAGTGACCAACACTTTCTTTGGGACATGTTCTAGAGGTGTCATCGAAGCCGTACTGATGGCGATAGTTTGCAATCCAAGGGTATAGGGTACGAGGCACTGTACGACTATTCCGTGCGAGGGCGAAATAAATGTGCTGTTGGTGTTGGTTAAAGTAGACTAAGCGTCAATACATGGATAATTGAATGTTTTATATGCCTGCTCTTGAATATGAACTCGTGAACGGTTGATGCAGTGTTGGTATCCATCGCTTCCTGTAGTGATTGCCAGTGTGCCACGATCTACGGTACCTTGACGTGTGTATCAGTAATTGAGTTGTTGGCGCCGTATGAGGATTTAGATTATTCGCTCTGGACCATTTTTGTAGTTTCACACTCATTTGTATCATAGACAGGAGCCATTTTTCTTCCAGTCTGACCTCATGTTCTCTCGTTTGTTCGATGTAGAACTTGTCCATTGCGAATTGGACCAGATGAAATGTTTACCGGCGCCGGGTTGGTTGAGCCATATCTTGTTCAAATTGAAGACCGGAAGCCGAGTGTCATCCGTAAAATCAGCCTTGATGCGCTTTATATTGCTTCTGAGCTTAGCCGGCAAAGAGAGTGGGTGTTGAGTCCTTTTGTGTTCTCCAGCCTCATCTTCTTGCGAAGATCTACATCTTGGCCTAGAACAACATTACCACGATCAGGGTAAGAAAAAATATTAACCGCCAAATCGTACGGAACTCTGGGAAACGGTCTTTGTGACGACATCATACTGGCAGCCAAGCCAAGAAAGCTGGCACCATTATCTTGATTCGTGTCCTTGTGGTAGTCTTCCCGGTCGTTGAGTTGTAAATGTTGGTAAACTGGCTTTGTCTTCCGTAATTTCGATGATATGATCATTGATGAACGGAGCTGAAGGGGCGTGTATTGTATCCCTGAACGTTGAGAGAATCTGGCGCTAGAAGAGAACAATCACGCTTGTATTTCTGATGCAGCAATCGACTTCTCGACGTGCTTAGGCCGAAAGCATCTCTCGCGGTGGAAAGAAAATCTCCAATAAAGCAGTTCTCGCTGCGGAACTTGATAGCCTTTGTTGAGGCATCAGAGAAGCAATTTGACAATAGCTACATGCAGCGTCGCTCTGAGCCACGGTGGTCGAGCTAAAAGCAAGTGGCAGACGCGTACTGAGTCTCGACGAATGTCAAGCCTGTCGATTTGGCGTCATAATTGCTTTTGGCTCTTTGATACCGGGCGACTTCGTCTCTTGAGGAGGCCAGAGGCTGTCATTTTCTCTTCTGATTCGAAAACTAGAGGGTACCGCAGCTGCACTTCGAACTTGAAACCGTTTGCGTGATCCAGCTTCAGACAAAACTTTCGAAAGTCCCTCTCTCGAATCAGAGTTCAGTACAGAGACGTAGTCCAAGGTAGCACATGTCCTTAAACAGGTGAGCGCAATTAAGAGCTCATCTGAATGCTGTTTCCACGGTTGAAGTAGAGGAAGGCGTGTAGTGAAGTATCATGTTCGATTATCATCGTTATTTTCTTCAATTGCCACCGATGTGTCAAGCACGGTTCTCCTAATTGAGAGGGTCTACTCGGCAATCGAATGACGGCGGTTGAAGATCTATGCAATAGAAAATGTAGAGACTAGTCAGACATTGCTAATATCCAGATGGATGCATGGATTGGACAGTGTTGAGCACTTACGAATGGCTGTTGAAGCTGCCAAACAGCAACTGCATTAACCCGCAGAACGAAAGCAGGCCGTTGCTCTATTCTGGCTGCGTTCCCCAAAGGCGGCGTAGATCTTGGCACGGCAAGTGTTTGAATTCGAGTGTATGCGTGCTCTCGTTGGAATGCTGAGATGTCGGTTTCAAAATTTCTTGGAGGTTGAAAGTTTGCTCTAGGCGTTCTTCTTTTGTTTCTGCCATTGGCGGTGTAGACCAGGTACTAAAGAACAGGTGCACGTATGTACATGTAGATTTGCAGCTTCCAAGGTACTATCTACTTCGTATTGCCTGCACAAA